TATTGATCACTTGAGCCTGAGGAATGGCAACAGCTCCAGGATATGAGACAGAAACAAAAACAGCAAAAAAGAAGTAAAGGAAGAGAGACATCATCTTTTCTGCACAGACTCAATAGAGATATGCATGGGTGGGGCATGTGACATTACTTTCAATATCAACAAAATCAATAACTAGTATCATATCTTTTGTATGAAAGCAATCAATCTATTATCATTTTTTCATAAAAAAGATAAGGAAAGTATGGACAAATATCCAGAAATGTTTTCACTGGAAAGACTTGAGTATATCAAAAGTTGAAAGCAGCTTTTTAGCTGCATACCAAACATACATTTTTTATAGCTAATGCTGCTGCATAGAGCTAATAAGGAAACATTTACTTATGTTCTAAAACAACCCTTCAAGGTCCTCACATCATTGATCATTCATTAGCATAGTAAACATCATCTTCATTGTTTGAAAGTGAAGGTGGTGTAAATAAATGGACTGTAAGCACAGAACAATAACAAAAACATTAGTACATCATTAAAATAACAGCTTAGTGAAACTAAATTTCATAAAGCTAGTTTACTGTTGACTCAAGGGGATTGGAATTACTAAAAATGGGGGAGCAGGTATTTTCAGAGCCAATTTTTAAAGTCAAATTTTACATTAAAACTTGTGATCAACACTAGCTATAACTGTCAGATTGCTTATACAAGGTAGCCTGTCTAAATAATAGATTTTGTGAATAATCTCTCTTAACCTCTAACCTCAGTTCAAAAGTATTCCTTTATTTTAACAAATAACAAGAAGGTAAAAGTACTAATTAATCCAGTCCTGCTAGCCATGGTTTAGTCTCAGAGATAGCTATTACATCAACTTTGAAGTAAAGACAGTTCCTCCTGTCATACAATGGACACAAATCACAATGAGGAACAAAATGAGACACTCCCCATTCTTCAGACATTTTAGCCTCAGTCAAAAATTTACACTCTTCAGGTGTAAAACTATTATACGTGATAAAGACAGTCTTGTGGTTAGCATTTTCTGTTTGATTCAGTAAGGTAACTTTTACTTTGCCTTGAAATGGCCACTCCAGTGTATCATCGTACTCTCCAGGAACTAATGAGGCATAGCAAGAAATGTGTGTGCCTTTAGCACTATCTCTTCCATTAGCATACACACTGAGTATCATCTTGTAGCCTCCAGGCGAGGAGTAGAATGGAGGACTACGCCATATCTCATTGCAGCATCTCTTACTTACGAAATCAGTTAATCGAAATACCTCAGAGATAGATATGATACTGCATCTCATCTGTAAAGAATCGACCCGTTTTACTGCCATCTGCAAGTGATCCTTCATAAACTCTTCATTATGTTTCTCCTGGTCTTCTCTCTTTATAACCTTAACGCAACCAACACTACTGTATTCACAGGAGATAACAGCCTTAGAGCAGACCTTTTCATGAGCAGGGAGGAACATACGCTGCTTAGTGACATCACAGCCTTCATAACGACACTTGAGAGGGTAAAGGGAACACTCGTTGAGGTGAGCAGTGCCTGTTATTAGATTATGAGGGCCTTTACGTCTACAATACTCACAACTGACCATTCGTTTTGGACACACTTCAGAGAGATGTGCCTCCACGTCAGTTCTTAGCATTTTAGCTCCACAGCCACGAGTGCACTCAATCAACTGGTAAGAACAAGTATGGACGTGCTCTCGGATAAAATCACCAATGATTCCTTCCCACTGGCAGCCTTCCTTGTCATAACGGGTACAATATATTTTGAGGGATTTTATTTCTCGCTCCAATCTCCCATCTTTAAAGTAGCTATTGGTACCCATTGGTTCACGACACATAGGACAGTTAATGTTAATCCCTTGCTTGATTTGTGTCTCCAGACAAGTCTTACAGAATATGTTGTAGCAGCAGGAGACTTGATGAGGATCACAGGATACTAGAGTACAAATATGGCAAATGTAGTTACTAGATGGATCACCATTGACAAAAGTATAATCATATCCACCATAGGAATCTTCTGTAAGAGCAGCCATGTTGGAGGAGTTATTAAAATTGTTAATAATTAAATAATTAATGTTAACAAACTTAAGAAAAAAAGAAAGACAAATAGACATGCTTTTATAACACTATACAAGCCATGGTTTAGTCTTAGAAGTGACTCTTGCACTGACTCTGAAATACCGTGGACCCAGAAAACCATATTCAATGCCTTTAAACTCAGGAGCAGAATGAGCAATGAACCGATCTTTCCCCCACCTTTCTGACATTGTTTTTGTCACCCTTTCCTTGCAATCCTTAGGAGTTGAGTCGTCATACTTGATAATAAGCTTCTTATGATTTCTATCTTCATTTTGGTTTAGTAGCTCTACTGTGACTTCTCCTTCAAATGGCCACCCCAAAACATCATCATACTCCCCAGGAACAAGAACAGTATAACAAGACATGTGAGTGCCTTTTCCTCTGCCATAACCATTAGCATATACACAGAGCATCATCTTATAGCCACCTGGTGAGGTATAAAATGATGGACTATGCCACATGTCATCCTTAAATTTTAATGAACTACTCGTTTTAAAAACTTTAGAGCTTGAACTGCAAGTGCATTTCGTCTGCAGAGAATCAACTTGTTTGATGGCCATTTGCAAGTGCTCTTTTGAAAATTCCTCATTATGTTTTTCTTGCTCTTCCCTCTTTATTAATTCATCGCATCCCAAATTACTGTATTCACAGTAAACAATAGCTTTAGGACAACGTTTCTGATGATATTTGAACCAAAAGCGTTCTTCAATAAATTCACAACCTTCATTAGAGCATTTGATTGGATAAGAACGACACTCATCAAGATGAGCACTACTTGTTATGATGTCATGAGGGCCTCCGTCTTTACAATACTGACAACTGACTATCCGCTTTGGACAATCTCTGAGGTGAGTTTCCATTTCCCTACAACAAATCTTTTCCCCACATCCCAGAGAACAGTCAACCATTCGATAAGGACAGGCCATGACATGTGCTTCAATATCACCAATAGTTCCTTTCCAGTCACACTCCTCAATGGTGCATTGAACTTTAAGGGCCTTTATCTCACGCTCCATCCTTCCATCTTTAAAGTAGCTCCTTAAATCCAATAGCTCACGACAAGCAGGACAGCGAAATGTTCCATTCCTTGAGTTTTTCTTCCTGTGCTTATCCAGACAACTCTTACAGTAGATGTTATAGCAGCAGGAGACTTGATGAGGATCACGTGACACTAAAGTACATATGAGACAGATGTAGTTGCTTGGTGGGTCACCATCAACAAAAGTATAATCATATCCACCATAAGAGCTGGCTGGATGCTTAAAAATCTTCAGAAATGAGCTCCCAAGACGGTCATTAGCAGCGGCCATGTTCCTTCTTTTATTAAGTTAAATTAGTAAATAAAATTAATTAATTACTTAATAACCATTACTAGTTAAAATCTTTGTGCATATAGTATACATCTACATGTACCGGTATGGTGCATCAGGTAAACCTTCTATTAGTATCTAAAAAATGCAAGAATACTTTCACCTTGTTGACGCATAGCTGCATTCCTGCAGCTCTTGCACTTACTTGTAAGTCTTCCACATGTTTAGACTAAAAAAAAGTGTCTCAAACAGAACAATGTAGTCGTATCACTCAGGAGAGATGCAAAAACTGAAAGACATGCACCAAAAGATAAATTTACTTTCACAAGTCCACACATGCTCCATGTTCCTCATAGTATGTGACTTACTAACTAACTTACTAACTTACTTACTAACTTACTAACTTCAAAAGGTATCACGAGTCTGTCCATTATAAAGAAAAGCAATCTCATCTCTTTCTCATCAGCAGAAGACAGAGCACTATTATTATCATCAATCATGGTTACCTCTCAATGGCTATGTGTTATAATAACAGCTATTGCTATGACCAACATTGCAGCTGGAAACTTTCCTAATAATACCCCACCTTCCCCATCATCTCCCTCCCCTACTCCATATCCTTCTGCTTCTTCATTTCCTTCAGTTACTCCATTACCTTCCTCTACTCTATCTCCAACTCCACTGGTTGTACCTACTGAATCCT